GAAAACTAGGCCTAGGATTTTTGCTGCCAAACAACTTGTCTCTGAGGATGGGAACAAGAAAGATTTTTAATTAAATTTTCCACCTTTTCTTTAACCTCTTTGTCTTATGCAGATCTCTTAAATCAGCAGGCCAAGGATTCATCCCTTGCTGGATCAGCTGGATTTTGGGATTTTTGGTGTAGGTGCTTTATCCTTGTGTCTGAACTTTTTTTATTAGACTGATTTTTAAACATAGCTTTATCATCTGGCACTGTTAGTTTTGTCCTGAGTGATCAAATCCTTTAGAAGATTGAAAGGTATGCCAACTCTAACTACTGTTAGTGTAGGAAGTATGTTACTAATTTGTGTTATATATTGTGCTAGACTCTAGAGAGAGTGCGGAAAAAATAGTTCTTGCAGGAGAGAATTTACAATCAAAGCAGTAAACATGATAGGTTATACCTAAAGCTCACAAGATGATGAGACCATATTGGTCAGCGTGGCAGGTAAAGTGTATTTGCAGCCTCTCAGCAACTTGGATTGGGAGCTTTTAGGCATCACCATAAATGATTTTTAAGGGGGAAACTGAAAAGTTGAAACTTCAGCTATTTTTAGGACTCTTCATTCAAACAGGAACGAACACAAGAGGGAGAATCAAAAGGCTTTCAATGGGAAAATCTCACAAGTTCCTAGCTGGGAAAATGTCAGTCTTCTACTATTAACTGAGATAAGGAGAACTGAAATGGATGCTAGAAAGAGATATGATTCTGAACTTTTTTTTTTTTTTTTTTTACAATTTTGGGTTGCAGGATTATTATCTCAAGCAGTTATAACAAGTAAAGAGAAGAGGCGCCTAGGATGCAATTCAGGAATCAGGGGGTTGCAATAAATCCAGCTCTTTCATTGTCCTTCTCTGTTGTCTTTTGTCATGGTAATTTATCTCACTTAGCCCACATCTAACAGAAAAACAAGTTCATGAATGCAAAAGATCTGTGTAAGTACTAATTATTTTGTTAGCTCTTAACACAAATAAAGGTAATGAGATTTAAATTATCTCTTGCCAGGAAGGTATATGCAACCTAACTGTAATATCTGGCTACCTGTCCTGCTATTGAGATGATTCAGACAGAATATGATTTGGCTTGTGAAGAGCAAATTTGCTTGTCACTTGTTGTGCTTCTAGAGGGGAACAAAAGAAAACCGAAGCACTCTTGCTCTTTTGTTTCAAAGTTTCACTTTACCTTTTTTGCTTCACTGTATCTCTGTGTATTTATATATCGTATCACTGTGTTTAAATTTAACATATTTTTTCTGCCAGTTCTGTAGGTAAAATGGGTAGATGCTAGAACAAGTAACTTAGCGCCTGTATAGCCTTGGAAGCTTTTCACCCCCTTGAAATCAATGAGACTTCCTTTTTTCAGTTAATAAATCTTCAGTTGCCAGAAAGAAGGAAAAAAAAAATAGGAAGAAGAGGGATAAAGATAGTCTGCTTATGTACCTTCATCTCCTGGGGTTCTTCCGTTCTGTACTGAAGGGTGCGTCTAGAAGCGCATGAGCTCTTTCTCACGAGACAAGAGTTTCAGTTCTACGTTGCTTTTACTTTATTGCTGTCAGAAAGTTTCACTGAGAAGGGGTCACATTAGCATCTCTCAATACTAGCCAACTTCTTCTGTGTTCAGTAAAATCTTTTTGAAATAGTGTTTATGTTTTTCTGTAGAGCAGAAACTTAGGCCTCAAACTCCTCCTTCCTCATAATATTTAGGAAAATGACGCATTCAATAATGTTAGAAAGGAATTTTGCAAAAGAAGCAAGAACCCAGCCCTTAACCGTAAGTCTACTTTACTCATAACTTGTGTTGGCTCACAAAAACCTTTAACAAAATACTGTCTTATGATTTATGAAGTCTTGTAGATGAGGTTGCTCTCTTATGGATTTTCAGAGAAAAAGCCGGTTTATGCTTTATTGCAATAAATAGAATATGTAAACATTTAGGCTTGTATTACATATTATGCAAAAGGCTTCAAATCACCATTCATGGTTTTTATTTCGTGGGACTTCCTGGTTTGATTATTGAAGGAGAGGTATGCATTGGGAATGCATAGCAAATTTTTTGTTGACTTTGAGAATTTTTTGCTAAACTACCATATTAGTTCTTGATTGACGCTTCTTAGAGTATTTGCATGAACTGTCTGCTGAAAATGATCCTGAAAATAAAATAATAATAAGTATAATAAGTACTATACTTCCTGTGATCCTTTTGTATTTCATAGGTACCATTATTGTATATAACTCTTTTCTTGCTTTCTAAGAACCCAAGTCTGTAAAAACATTAAAAACAGAGTAGCTGCATAATGATGACGTATTAGTAGCGTGATGCCATTTGCTGTCAAGTCATTGGCGTTATAATGATGATGCAGATTTTTCTTCATTGCACCCCTTTACAAAGTAGCTGAAAATAGTTTCACAGGCTTATGACTGCTTTAGTTAGAGAAGTTTCGTAGTCTGTTATACTCTGTGGTTTGATCTTACATTGCTCTACAACTTGTGTGATCATTTTACATCAAGATCAAAGAGTTAATAACGTGCTGCTAAAGCAGAATGGATACTTCTGGCATGTGCTTTACATTCATTTCACTGTATTGCGACTTGCTAGGTGAAGGGGAATGTGTGCCTTATACCAAAGGATTCTTGAGTTGTGTCTCAAGCTGTTTTAAGTTATTGCGTGGACTCTTTTGCCACTGCAACACAGTAGAAACTTTGGCAGCTTAACTAAAAAGTAAATTTAATATTTTATAATAATGGCAGAGGGAGTCAGTAACACCGTGGTGTTTACAGAGTCTGAACTGGGCATGCTGTTATTGATCATCGATGACTTTTTAAAAAGTTATGACTTAAAAATCTGATTGTAGAACTTCTACTCCTAATACATTTAAATGAGGAGTACATCCAGCCTATGAGCATATCTCGGTTGAAGAAGAAGTCCTCTAAGTAGTTCAAGACAAAGGTGCTGTAACTGCCTTGCTGAGAGAGGATTAATTAGGAAATGTCTCCCTTTATCTCTCTTTCTAGAAAGTTACAGTGGTTCACTTCCCCTTAGCAGAATTTTATTCCATAGAATGGCACTAGGCAGTACATTAAATGGTTATTATCTACTTGTTCTCGGGGTCTTGATATTTTGGTTAAAATTAGAGTTATATGCTAGACAGCTGTTCACTTATCAGATGACAGGATGAGCTTGAAATAACTTAGTGTGGTGTATTTGAATAACTGAAAATCAGGGAGAATCTTGAAATTTGGGAAATTGCTTCTCTCACTAGGAGGATCTGTTTTGCCTAAATTCTAGCCTCACTCTGCGTACCTTTTATTTCCCCCCCACCCCTTCCTTTTCTCCAGTACTGATACTCGAAAAGGTGGAAAATGGAGATCTGAGCAACAAGATATTGAAGATCACGGATTTCGGCTTGGCCAGGGAATGGCATAAAACTACCAAAATGAGTGCAGCTGGGACATATGCCTGGATGGCTCCTGAGGTCATCCGCTCCTCCATGTTCTCCAAAGGCAGCGATGTGTGGAGGTATTGATTTGGCATTAAGTGATTGGATACAGCAGGGTAACTAGTCGTGCCAGGAAAGCTATCTTATACTTAGAAATGAGTAACGATGAACCAAATTTGAAAATTCTTGGCTTAAGGAAACTTTATCTGCTGGTTTTACATCTACCAGATTCTCAGCCTACTTTGAGACTAATTGTAAACCTTTGGTCTGTAGAAGGTGGTGGGGCCGCCTCATGCATACCTCTGAGTCTTTGCTGTTCCATAAACTCATATTCAGATTATCCTAGGATTCATAATCCCTGTCCCTCTATATTATCTAAAACAAACGTTTTGTACTATGTGGTATTGGCTGACGCAATCAAAGGCCACGGAAGCAAGCTGAGAAGCACTTACAGTTACTACTTTTTTTACTGTTTTTTCCAAGAGTAGTAGGATCATTTTATGTTCTGGTGGTAATCTCTTTCTATTACGTACTCTGTACCTAATCAAATTCTCTCTGCAAGTTTCAGCATGAATGCAGTGTTTTTCACTTTTGTACTATGTTCGTGAGTTATTTCCACCCTTCCAGTCTTTGGCACAAAATCTCTTCTGTAGGCGAATTTGAGCAGATAATCTGTAAGTAATTATTTGCATGTATATATTGTCATTTCTGTTCAGGCAGTAGGATTTCTGAGAATAGAAGCTACTTTGGGAATGGATGTAAAGATTGGCCCATAGACTTACTACAATTGACTCTGAACGTGACTCTAGTGAGTGAATTGGTAAATCCAGAATCTGGTAGATAGCTCTAGGATAGTGAGTTTTCTGGATAGTATATGATGTAGAGTTAGCAGTGAACATGTGGAACAGACAAGTAAACAGAATTTTTATTCTCTTGTGAAGAGAGAGGCATTAACATGTCAACGTGCCTGGGTCTTCAGAATAGTAAGATTCAGTGTTTGGTCAATAGTGCTCCCACACAGAGCGTGCATACTGTGAACTCTGTCAAGTTAAAGAAATATCCCAGCTGGAAGAATTTTTTGGTTGTTATTGCAGAGGTCTGATGTGAGGGTTCTTATTTTCCTTATCTAGTGCTATTGAATAGGTAACTTATTACTTTGTGATAAGTTTGTGAACTTGTATTTTGCACGTGATGGTAGTCAGCATGGATAAAATTCTGATGCTATAATTAAATACGGCAAACCTCTGTAGTTAATCTGAGAGAGGAATTGTGTAAGAACTAGGCTTTTGCTCTGAGTGAAATCTGGCAAAAATGAAAACCTCAATCATGCATATTTTCCAATGCTGACAATACTGGTTTGTACACAGCATGCCAAGCTTGAACCTCAGTTTCCTCTTCTCTGAAACAGTGCCAGGAATGACTGTAACAGAGGGGAACAATTCCTCTGTAATTGTAACTTTACTAACCCAGGCACGCCGAGAGGAGACCTAGTGGATCGGTTGGTGATTTTCATGAAGGTAGCTCAAGAGCCTTTATAACTGTGCAAAAATGGCAGTGTGGTCATTGACTTAAAGATTGCAGATCACTTCAAAAATCTTTGATAGCTTTTCAGACTATTATAATTCTATTTTAAGATTGGGGAATCACTTGCCTTTTTTTTTTTTTTTAATGATTACCAACCTTCCCTTGAACAGGCTGAATTTCTCTTAAGCGTTCTTCCTTAAACAGATTGTCATCTCCATTAAGAGAGCTATGTTATATTGTCTCTCTATAAGCCTTCTCTCTGGGGTGGCCAAAACCTTGGCTCGTACCTAAAATGAGCTGAACAGAGCATTGTGTCTGAGGCATGCATGCAGAGGAAAAATGCTTGCTGGTGCAGCCCCTAGTAGTGTGTCAGTGTTTGTAAGCACTGGATTTTACAAAAGCAGTTTTGGACATCTGTAAGAAATCCTGTCCCCACCCGAGAATGGAACTGAAGTTCTTAACAGGATGAACTTTTTTGATCCTATTAGATATACCCCTCCTCTTGTCCACTTTAATCTCTTGGTTAATCGCTAGAGTTAAGAGATCTTTTTACCTGATAAACAACCTTCCAGTTAGTCTGTGCAGCATCAACAGAATTGGCTGTATCTGTCCCTAACACTCACGAACCTTTTTATTCCAATGTCTCTTCTACACAGCGTATTCGAATGATACTGCAAGAGGTCCTGGCTGAATTGTTGCCCAGCCCTTTAACAATCATTTTATTCCACTTGTGTTCTTACTGCACAAATAAACAGATAACAGTCCTGGCAAACATCTTTTCCAGCAGCTATTTCCTGAGTCAGTCTTTTATCCCAGCATAAATAACCACTTCGTGCAATTCCTTTCAAAAATGTATCATGCACCATTTTAAAATCTGTTCTGTTTTTTGCCCTGTTGTATTGGTGACAGAGAACTTACTAGGCTGAAGAATGCTCCAGCCACTCCTGTTTATCACCAGGGCCTTGGCCAATGCAGAGTTTGCTGGTAACAACAGCACTTTGCACTTCCTGCTAGAGTAAATCTGTTGCTATGAGTTGTGTTGTAGTGCACCTGGGTGTTTTAGGGGTACAGCTGAAGCTCTGTGTGTATATTGCACAGAAAAGAAAGAAGATACCTTTTCATTTGAAAATGTCAGACTGGTTCTGTTAGTCTAATGATGTGTTTGAGAAAAGTTAGGAATTTGTTTTGGATTTACAGGAGTGAAATCGAAGTGCAGATGCTGCAGCTTATCCAATATTGCGCAGCAAGCTAACATTGGTAGGCATATAGTCCAAATTCCCCTGTCATTTTAACTGCTTAAATGTGTTTCTTGTTTGCTTCCCACTTCATTTTTCTCTTTTGCTGCTTAAAAGAAAGTCTCTTTCATGTTATTGTTATGATTGATAGGCAGAAGCTAAGGCCACCATACAACCTTCATCCGAGTTTCTCGGTGTAGATGCTCATAAGACATATCTACTCTAAGACCAGTGAAATAGTTAGGAATTAAATTTTCATTCAGGAACAAAATACCAGAACTACTTAAAAATATCTGATTAGCAGATCAAGATATTTCAGGCTTTCGGTGGTGGGTGTAGAAACTTCAGTTGTTGTTTCATTTGAATCAAGCGTTGGCAAGCACTGTCATCTGTGACTGACCGCTTGCAGGCTTCTGTCAACACTTGTGTCTACAGACACAGAGGAAACACTGGTGAGACTTCAGTTCCTGGCAGAGAAGTGTTGACTAGCAATACTGATAGAAGCTGATGTGGAAGAAACATACACGGTAACTGGCTATTTTGACATAAGCAGGAGTTGGTAGTCTCTGGAGCTGCCAGTCCAATAACATGCAAAGTGCTAATCACCATTAAAAATATGAAGTTCAATCTTTCTTGGCAAAAATGATCTTTTGGTTTCTATTGTTGCTGGGATTCCCTTCTCAGACAGGTGATTCCTTTCTTATGCAAAGTGATAAACCTCTGGCGATGTTAAGAGGAAGCCGAGGTACAAATGCCATTGAACAATAACGGTGAGAAGTGAAGTGAGGTTTTTTTTTCCTTTCTTTCTTTCTTTCTTTCTTTCTTTCTTTCTTTGTAAGTTCACAGATTTACAGAGGAGGTGGCAAAATCACATGTGAAATCCTGCAGACCTTCAGCCTCCCTCTCCCTGAAAATCCAGTGAGTAGAATTGAACCTGATGTAAAATGGCTTAAAGGATTACTGGATCACTGGGAGATGGTTAATTATTCATAGAAGTGTCAGTTGACTTGGACACATGGTCTGTATCACATGGTTCCTACTGTAATTGAAGTCCAAACATTACTAAATGAGTTTTACCAGTTTTTTCTTCTTCCCTGTTGAGAAAGAATCAAGGGGCTCTCCTCATTCTTACCACTTATTTTTTGTATAAATCTCTTCTGGCTTTTTGCTTTGTAATTCCCAGTCCCCTGCTTGAGAGTTAACAGAAAACACTATTTTCGGCACCTCTCTTGCTCTTTATTCGCTTGAGACGGTTGTTGCTGTTTAATGCCACATAGCAGTGCTTTCTTCACTAGTTCTGTGGAAGCAGCATTCTTAGCCTTGGACCATCAGTGTGTAAGGAAGAGGTGGCATTAGATTTGGTATCAGAAACAAAGTGATCTTTTCTACAATATGTACTTTTCCTGTCATATTAGCAGAAACCTAGATCTGCCTATTTTGTCTTTTGAAAATTATCTTGCAGAAGAAATGTTTTGAGTGTATCAATAGGGCTTTTTTTAACCGTTTAATAAAGAAAAGTAACTAATACATGCTTTATGCTGAACTAGTGGTAAAGTAATAACATCTCTTTGCCAATTTGTCCTATCTTTTGATATCAAAACTTGCATGCAGACTGAAGGATAGTACGAACAATCAGATGTAAACAGGACAAATGCATATTTGATCCAGTATTCATTTTCTGTGTGTGTATCTTATGTATGGATCCTAGGGGGCCAAAAAGAAAATGGGAAACCGCTGAAGTCCTGCTTTAAAAAAAAAAAAAAAGAGGATATTGATATGGTAAGAAATTCAGAAACTTGATGGAATGAAATCATCAATGGGACATTATAATATCAAAAGTATGGATTATATAGGAAAAATGAAAAGGTTGCACAGATTAAAAAATGATACTTTGTTGTGTCAGCAAGGAAGATGGAATCCCTAGTTACTGAAACTGCACATCTAAATAGGCAAAATGTAATATTAAGATTGATTTTTCCAGTTAGGATGGCAACAGCTACAGTGAAACATTGAAGGCTTGATGGGGCAGGAGAAGAGAAAATTCAAGAGTGCAGGATGTGATTTTTTAAAATTTTGATTACCCCCTAATGGACAAGGCAAATCTTACTTTGAAGAAGAAATTAATCTTTTAGCTTCAGAAATGACTATTTCATGGAACAGCTATTCAGGGAGCTTTTAGGAGGAAAAGCAGTTTTTCCTTTGGTCTTAAGCCATGTGTAGGATATTTTCAACATCCTGCTGTATAACAGCGGCAAAATATGCTTAGATTCAATATCTTTGCAAGATCAATAAAAGATCATTACAGTAGTGTTTAATCTCAA